GGAAAAAAAAAAAAAAAAAAAAAAAAAAAAAGTAAAATAAAAGATAGATGCTAGGAAACAGGGAGGGAAGGGGCCGAGAGATGAAGGGAGTGGTGAGCTGGGGAGGGGAGAAGATGAACGAAGAATTCAGGCGTGCTGTGCACGTGCACCAGCTGCCCACAACAAGTGTAATCATTACGTGCGGCAAATGTGCACTGATAAACAAATAAAAATTGAAAAAAAAATCCAGGCTGCTTGGTGCTCACAACTAGTTACAGGAGACAGAGCAGATAAACCAACAAGGGAGGAATTGTCGGGCAGTTGTAAACTCTGAAGGAAATGAGAGGTAACGGACGAGTGTGCGGTGGACGATATTTTAAGTGGATGTTCACAGAAAGCCTTGCCTCGTAGGCGCCTTTTGAAGTACAGCCCAAGGCATGGGAAGGCTCCAGCTAGGGCCACCTTCTCCACTAGGGACAGGGTCCAGGGCCACCATACTTTTAGAGGCCTTGAGAAGTTTGAAATCAGAAGAAAACAATGAATTTCGGATTGAAGGAAATATTTTCATATATATATTAATATACCTGTGCTTATACTAACACAGTCATAAAATATAACCCTCTTTTTATGGAGGAAGGGACTCTCAAAGGCAAAAGTGCCTGAAGCCCATGAGAATCACAATGGAGCTGTGGCTCCAACCCCAGGAAAAGCCACAGAAGAGCATTTTAGGCAGAGGGAACAGCAAGTACAAAGGTCCTGAGGGGGGAATGAGCTGGGCACGTTCTGAGGAGCAAAAAGTTCTAGGAGTGACGTGGGCAGATTGGAGAAGTGATGGCAAATGACGTTGGGTTAGATCATCAAAGGTCTGTGCTCTGAAAGATGGAGGGCAAGGGCATCTCCACAAGCGCATCTTGGGAGCAGGGTGCTGCAGGCTGTTCCTCAGCATCAGAGCCGCATCTATGTCTGGGCATGGGGGGAACCACTGTCCCCTCTAAGGGAGGGCCTGACTAGAGACCTGGCTGCTGCATGGGTTCGGCCAAATGCAGGCCCAGGGGAGCCGGCTCCCCCATCACCCACAGTCCCTTCAGAGATTTCCGGACACCCCGCCCCGTGAGAAAATGAGTGGGCTTTGCCTCCCGGGCAGAGTCATAAACAGGTGTTGCTCAGGAGGCGCTCCCGTGGCTCGAGGGTGTTTCTGAGTTGGGGCGCCGAGCCCCCTGCCTTGGCCTCATTTCTGGAGCTCACACAGCCCCTCCCCGGGGCAGCCAGACTGGAGGGGTAGGGCTCCGGCAAGTGAGAGGCAGCAGGAGCTATTTAAAGTCGCCGGCAGCTCTCCCCTTCTGTTCGCGGCTCTGCCTGGTGGGAGCTGCCGGCGTCACGCACCCACCGCGCCTCAGGAACACAGCAGCCCGGCGCACCCACACAGGCACGTGTGCAGGGGCTTCGCTCACCTTCCCGGCTGGCGGGGATCCAGCAGTGCGGTGGGCAGCTGGGGCCCAGGACAGCGCCCTGGACAGCCCCCGCCCAGTTTCCATCTCCATTCCAGAAACGGCCTGATGTAGGCCCCTCCGCCCCCCGCTGGCTACAAGTGTAACCAATTAACGCTTTACAAGGGTGTTGGTGGAGGCTGGGGATCTTCAGGCCCAGTAGGGCTGGAAGGGCTTCTGGTGCCTTGGAGGAGCTGCAGGCCGAGGGAGTGGTCTCCCTGCAGTTTTCCGATCTGTGCATGACCCCATCACTCACACCTCCGGGTCCCAGACTGGGAGCTATGCGGGCGTGGAGTGCGTGTGTGTGTGTGTGTGTGTGTGTGTGTGTGTGTGTGTGTGTGCAGTGTCCATGGGGGTAAAAGGCACAAGAAGCTGGGCCTTGGTATGAATCCAAGAAGGTGACTTAACATCTGAGCCTCCAGTTGCCTTTTCTGTGATGTGTTGATAAAAATAATGCCCATCTCAGCTAGCTGTGAAGATTTCATTTGAATTAAAAATGTAGAGAGCCTTCCCACGACCCAGCCGAGTGAGCTCTCAATGAGTGGTAAATTTTACCTATATTTTTATTGTAATGCTGTATTTTGAAGTTGATCTCCTGTTCCCAGAGCCAAAGGACCATAGCTCGCCCCCGTCCCCAGCCCCTGTGGGCTGTATTGCAGTCTGTGGCCTGGACATGCACTGCCCCCGGGCACATATGAGGATTCCCCATTAAGCCAAGGGCCAGCGATGGTGACCACTGGAAACTCTGAACCCGCTCTGGTCCTCACCTGGAGCCCAGGCGGCCCACATACCTAGGGCTCAGGAGTGATTACATCACCTTTTCATGCGGCCAGACCAGGGCAAGTGGCAACTTGGGCTCTTCCTTCTTGACAGACAGATGGGCTCACAGACCCCATGCAGGGTTGGCTCTAAAGTACAGAGTCACTGTGGGCCTGACCACAGGGATAAAGGGACGTAGAGGGAGAAAGTCCTAAACGGGGAGGGCACTGGCCATTCGAAACTGCCCAAGGTGAGGACACACGGGAAGCCTGGAGACTGAACAGGTGGGGCTGCGGTGAACAGTAGGACGGAGAGGCCTGGCGCAAGTGCGAGCAGGGAGCCAGGCCGGGAAGCCACAGGAGGGCCCGAGGAGGCCCCTCCATGTGTCTTTATCAAACACCTGCTCCTCGGCCACCCCTTCACCATCCCTTGAATGCATACCCACCGGGCCCTGCACCCTACTCCACCCTGGGTCCCCTTCGTCCCATACAGGGCCCCTTCCTTTCCCTTCCCCTCCATCCAGTCCGCATCATTGTATCCAGTGGTGCTCTGACCCCACCACCCCTCCAGAGACTGCCTAGGGTCCTCTGCCAAGACCCAGGACTCCATCTCCAGCCTGGCTGGCTCCGTCTCCCAGGGCCCCATCACCCCCTTCCATCGTTTGTGTTCCGCAGCCAGCCGCCTGGGAGCTGAATCAGAGCCATAGAACTAACATTTTGCACACACGTCTCTCCAGATGACAGGCAAGATGGGCCTTCTGCCCTCAGCCCACACACACCCGTGCTCAGGAAGCACAGAGAGCCAGGGCTGTGCCCCTCCGGGGTGGGGGAGGGACCCTTCCTTTGCCCCTGGGGACTGTTTTGTTCCAGCCTTGGGACTCACCTTTTAGGGAGCCGAAAAAGTACAGTTCGAGATGAAGCAGGATACGGAGACTGGTAGAGGCAGCGAGAGTTTATATCAAGCCGGACAGGAATGCCACAGAGGTGCGACAGGCGACCAACGAAGGAGAGGTACAGAGAGATACTGCAACGAGATAGATCAGAAATAGGGACAAAGAGAGATGGAAATAGAAAAAAGGGAGAGGAAGAAAACCAACTTGTAAAGGGGGAAGATGAGGCGTTGCCCAAGCAGGGCCAGGAGCCCCAGCAAGACCTGCGGGCTGGCCTCGGAGAAGCTCAAGGAAAACAGAAGTGAAGGCTTTTGCAGAAAGGTGCAGGCTGTGCCCAGAGGGGAGCGCACAGGCAGTTTCCAGGAGCCAGGGCCCAGAGGGGGGCCACCACCTCAAGGTCTGCGAACACCTGGGCCCAGGCTTCCTGCTAGGGAGGGGGAGCTGACCCCTGCGTGACCTCCTGCTGCTGCTGGCCCAGTGTCCTTTTGCTGCCAGCATTGCTTCTGCCCTAGTCACATTCCCAAGGCCACCATTTATTGGACCCTACCAGGCACCAGGCCAACACAGCCATTATCTCTCCCAGTCTCTCACACAAAATGCTTGTGAGGCCAACACCGCTTTACCCCATTTACAGACGAGAAAATTGAGGCTCAGACACTCAAAGATCCCTGTCTAGACCTGTGTAACTTCACCGTGTTGTCTAGCACTACCACAAAATTCCATCTCTGCTCTTTTTATGCTTTTGCAGTTTTCCCACTTGTCAACACATGCACACGAGGGTCCCCAGAGGGTCTCAGTATCTGTCCTTCATGAGCCAAGGCTTGCTCACCCCTAGCTCCAGCTCCTGATTTCCATCAATCTCAGATCACCTGCCTCTGGCTCAGCAGCTGAGCAGGAAGATGACATCATTCTTTTATTTAAAGAAAAGGGCTGAGCTGCAGCTCCGGGACGGGGGTCCATGTGGGAGCAAGAGCCAAGTGAATGGCTTCTTCTGTCCCCCCGACTGCACTCTGCTGAGTAGCTGTGGTGTGCTCCGCACAGGAGCAGTCTGGGAAGGACTCATGGGTTAACAGCGAGACAAGGCCCTGAGGCTGGGAGGATGCAACCAGCTAGGTTGTTTGTGAAAGGCTCTCTGCAGCTGAAGGACATGCTTTTGTTAAAGCCGTACCTCACAGGGGAAACTGACCTCCAGGACCTTCAGTAAGTCATTCAGGGTGGTTGTCTATGTATGGCATCACAGCGGGAGGGTGGTGGGTGGAGGACTCAGCGGGAACCGTGCTCCCAGAATCACTGGGTCTGTGTTCTTTCTCTCTCACTCTGTAACAGTCACTCCAGTCACCTGTTTCTCTGTGGAGCACCTAAGAGGAGCATCAGGGAGGAAAGGAGCTCTGGGCCTGAGGGGGTCCTGGGTGGATCTTCCTTTGGCTCCCGGTTCCCTCCCATGGCCTGCCCTGCCATCCATGCCAGACCTGTCAGCAATATCTCTAACTCTTTCAACACATCAGCCCGTCTCCCTGGGTGTGGGGGGGTGGTTCTCTTTTGAGGGATGTGGACCATAAGTACCTCAGTTACACTTAACAACATCACTAAGAGGGTGGAACATTGTTATTCCATTTTATAGACAAGGCAAATGAGGCTTGGAAAGGTAAGCAATCTGCCCAAGTCACAGAACTGGGAAGTGGCTGTTGTGACTGGGACCTTAAATGTTCCTCGAGGCTGAAGGTACCAGCCTAAGGTGCTACCAGCAGATGGTGGAACCTTTAGGAAGCCAGGCTTAGTGGGAAAAAGTTAGGTCATTTGGGGTGTGTCCTTGAAGAGAAGATTGGGATCCTGGCCCCTTCCTCTCTCTGCCCAGCCCCCATGAAGTGAACACCACCCAGTCCCTGCCATGATAGCCTGCCTCACCACAGGCCCAAAACCATGGATTGAAACCTCTGAAACTCCAAACTAAAATAAACCTTTCCTCCTCATAAGCTGATTACCTCAGGTATTCCGTCACAGTGATGGAAAGCTGATTAAGACAGTGGCAGAGTCAGGGTGCAAACCCAGGTCTGTCATGTTCCAGACCTATAGCCTTCTCATCCTCACTGTTTTGCAAGACTCTCCCTCAGCCCTCTCAAGACCCCCACAGTTTCCCTGTGCTTCCCTGCAATGGACTGAATATATGCCCCCCCACCAGGTGATGCCATTAGAAGGCAAGACTTTTAGAAGATTGTTAGGTCCTACAGACTCATGAAGATTAGTGTCTTTATAAAGCAGACGCCACAGATTTCACATGCCCCCTCTGTCATGTGAGGTGCTGTCCATGAGGAAGCTGGCTCTCATCAACATCAAGTCTCCTAGTGCCTTGATCCCAGACTTTCTTTTTTTTTTTTTTTTTTATTGAGTTTATTGGTACATTTAGGGATACAGTACAGTTACATTCATTGTTGGGATCATGTACCTTTACATGTGATCCCAGACTTTCTATCCCCAGAATGATAAGAAATGCTTTCTGTTGTTTTAAAGTTACCCAGCCTGAGATATTTTGTTATGGCATCCTGACATTCCCCAGTTTTTTGGCAGGCACTCCCCAACTCAACGAGGCTGAGAAGTTTTTGTGAGGGTTTGCAAGCCTCTCCTCTCTGCCATCCTATCCCAGAAAGAGGCTCCAGACCAGGCAAGTAGGACTATCATCACCCACACACCATAATTCCCAGAGTCCCTAACCCTGCCAGGAGCAGGCAGAAATGCTTGTTCTGTATTTTATTTAGCCACTAATTGCCTGCATTTAAAAGGCATCACAGTGCCACAGCCGTCCTCTGCTTCCTGCCCTGCTGCGTGCTTCTGCATGAAGGGACACTTGGGTGGGGAAGTGAGCAGAGGGAAGGGCCACAGTTTCCCCCAGTGACAGCTTTAAAAGCCTGACCCCAGTGCTGAGTGCTGGAGGATGTCAGGTTGTCACCCAGAGAACTGAGAGAGGGCGCGCAGGGGCTGAGGCCTCTGCAGAAAGAAGAAGCGAGGTCAGGGCCCTAGCAAAGGCTAGGAAGGAGTGGGGGGGCACTCCATGCCCCTGTAACCCCTAGGATGAAGGCCCTGCTGACGGAGCTTACCCAGAATGCCTTGCTTCCAGCTCCACTCCTGCCTGAGGAGCTGTGCAAAACGCAGCTGCCTGGAAAAGGACAGTGTGCTGGCCGCAGACAGTCACCTCCACTGAGGCGAGTGAGGTGACATTGAAGCTTGGCCTTGCCCAAGAGCAACACATGAAAGTTGAAGGAGATGTGGGTCGTGGTGGAAAGTGGAGTAAGTCTTAAGAAAGCCAGTGGAGGCAGCTAATTTTTGAGAAGGCCCAGCAGCCTTGCTTTGGGTTTCCCACCTGCTGAGAAAGTGCACATGATGGTAGGTGAAGAGAAGCTTGTTTCCTACTACTGCCCAATCATTTCCAGTCTAAATTTTTTTTCCCCTTTCTTTTTGATACAGGGTCTTAAGTTGTCCAGGCAGGGGTCGAACTTGATCCCGCTGCCTGAGCCTCCCAGAGTGCTAGGATTACAGGTGTGTGCCATCTTGGCAGGAATTCAGGTCTGATTCTGAGCCAAATCAAAACTCTCTGACTTTAGCCTTTATACCAACAGCAAGTCTACAGTTCCACCACAACACTATTGGCCCTCTCCTCACCTCCAACCCTAAATCCAATCCTCACCTAACTAGAATTTCAGTTCAAATACCAAAATCAAACTGATAGTAATCAGTAATTCAACCTCAATTTCAACCCCAACTCCGATGTACTGTATACCCATGTGTTAGCTGTCTGTCACTGTGACAAAATACCTAAGGAAATTAACTTAAAGAAGAAAAGATTAATTTTGTCTTGTCTTTTCAGAGGTTTCAGTCCATGATTGGCTGGCTCTGTTGCTTTCAGGCCTGTGATGTTCAAGCCTTTGCTTTTTGTTTTTGTTTTTTTGGTACTGGGGATTGAATTCGGGTCCTTGTGCTTGCAAGGCAGGCCGCCAAACCACTGAGCTAAATCCCCTGCCCATCAGGCCTGTGATGAAGAAGAGTCATCATGGTAAAGGAAAATGGTTTACCTCATGAATGCTAGGAGGCAGGTTAGGGCACACCCCCCAGTGGCCTACCTCTTCCAACTAGGTCCTAAATTTCCCATCACCTCCCAATAATGCCATAAACTCCCTCCTCAAACAAAAGCAAAACAAAAAAGCCAGGCATGGTGGTGCACCCCTGCAATCCCAGGCCTCAGGAAGCTGAGATGGAAGGATTGCTGCGAGTCTGAAGCCAGCCTGGACTACATAGTGAGTCTAAGACCAATCCTGACCTTCATAGCAAGACCTTTTCTCATAAACAAAACAAAAAACCCAACAAAATAATGCCCTCAAATTATGAATTCCTCACTGGATCAATCCATTGATGAGGTCAGAGCCTTCACGTTCCACTCACTTCCCCAAAGCCCCACCTTCAACACAGAAATCTTTGGGGCACATTCCAGGCCCAAACTACACACACACACACACACACACACACACACATTTGTTGGCTGGGGATTGAAACCAAGACCGTGTGCATGCTAAGCATGCATTGTACCACTGAACAATATCCCCAGCCCCTCAATATAAACTCTTCCTCTTTTTTTTGAGACAGGGTCTCACTCTGCAATTCAGGCTAGCCTTGATCTCATTATGTAGCACAGGCTGTCCTCGAACTCTCAGAGATCCTCTTGCCTCAGCCTCCTGAATGCTAGGATTACAGGTATGCTCCACCACACCCTGCTCTACCCTCAATATAATCTAAACCTATCCCACACCATATCCCTGACCCAAAGCCCAGTCCTTTAACATTCATCTCAGATGGAAATCTGCCCCCATTTCCTTCCTAGTCCTTATTTTTTCACCTGCTGTAACCCTTTCTCCAACCACATTCTGACTTCCTAACTGACTGATGCCAGTCCTGCACCCTGGCAATATGCCCTGCCACTGGCTTGGTCCCATGGCACCTGGACAAAGCTGAGTGCCACTAGAGGGCTGTTGTCTTAGGCCAAACCGTTGAGCCATGGGAACCACAGGGTGGTGCCTCCCAGTGCTGAGAGTCCCCAAGGTCCCAGCTCTGAGTGGAGGACTCTGGGCCCCTCCTAGTATGTCCAGCT